CGGCAAAGGGCGCTGCCCGGGCCGGGCCGGCCTCCCCCCCTCGAAAATATCCCGGAGCGACTCCCGAGGCAGTGCCGCCGCCGAAGTCGGTGCGTGGCTTCGGGCAGGGGGAGGGTGGGACCCTCCTGCCAGGGGAGGCGGGTGTGTGCCCCGCCCGGACCCGCAGCCTGCCGAACGGGTACCCCCGGGAACGCGGGAAAGTGACCTGGGGCGCAGGGCAACGGGTTACAGGAGGGTGCTGTATGTGTACGGGAGCGTCAGAACATTCAGATGCCCTGGGCGATGTCTGCCGGAATAGCAAGAGCAACACCTCCGATGCCTCGAACAGCGAAGAGCAGGGTGCCACATGGTGCGGTTCCAGCATTACTCACCCTCAGGATCAGGCGCTTCCCCACCCAGTTACATATGACCAGGAAATTATAGGCTGTGCTGCTCCCCGCCTGGCTGAACGGCTGCCATATCATATGATACACACCAGAGCGGCGTGTCTGATGAAACAACAGAGCAACGCTTCAGTGTTTACTGAAACTCTAATGCTTTGTGGAATAGACGGGCTTGGCTGGGTCAGACTGTCATTTGGTATCATGAATGCATGCTCCCTCTTGCACATCTTGCCATTAATTAAAATTCTGGATAAAAATTAAATCCTAATCTTCCTTTGCACTTGCTCCTTTACTTCTAACAGACTCCGCAGCCAGCCCCTGTGTGGCTTAAACGTTACAATTCCTTATTCTTTCTTATTCTGTCCATCCCATCTGCAAGCAGACTTTAATTTTTCTTCACACTCAGTATTCACAAGATCTTTCTCCTATAGCCATCATATCAAGGGCTCTGCATCTCTCATCTTTATAACATTCACATCTCCAGGTCTGATGTACACCTCTCCTCCCTGCAGTACACGGCAAATGGAGCTACAAAGCTCATCTCTGCAGCACACTGTATTGTCTCGTTCCTGTCTTGACTTTATCCAATACTTCCTACGTAGCACTCTTTAAGGAACATGTTATAATGAAAGTCACCTGTACAAAACTGCTCATCCATCTTTTCCAGTATGTTTTTCCCTGTGTCCTCCACTAACAATGTGAGCTCTCACCAGCCCTGCCAGTCTCCTCACACTCATTCATTCCATCTCTCCAATACATACCTCTTTTGGCTCCACCTTTTGCAGCTGCACCTCTACCCCGATCAGCTCTCTGCAACTAAGGTAGTCTGATTTCCCACAGGTTTGTCTTTGACTCCAAGCACCAGTTAAAACCTTTCCTTCTAACCGGCTGGTTTTAAGAGATGCAGCCCACGCAAATTTTCCGGAGTCTGAAAAAATATGAACTCCTATTGCAATGTTCTTCTGAGCCCAAGAAAAGGCTCGTCTCTTTCTTTTCTCTAGGCTTTTGATTTTAATGAAATTAAGTATTTCTGAGCCAACTCCTCAACCATTCAATTTGCTTTGAGTTGACCAATGCATCAGAAATTATGTATGCATGACAGACATGTCATACATGCTCCCCCTGCCAAAATCATGTGATCACATAAACCTTTCTTTGCAAAAACATGGGCTGCTTCTCATTACACCCCTTCTACTTTGTTTTTCTTTCACCATTCCTCTGTGCTTGCCTTTTTGTATCTTCTACTCCTGAGGGCAGGGACTGGGCTCTCTTCTGTGCCTGGAAAGTGTTAAGTACCTTAAGGGCATTACAACAATTTAATTAGTTAATAAGTACTAACAATTTGCATTAGTATCATGCTTCCTGCCATGTCACATCAGACCACTTCTCCAGCCAGCCAAACATACCCTTCTTTCTCATGGTGCTCTGAATTAATTGTGCCCCAGTGAGGCCAGGGCCTCACGTGTTGTGGTGGTTGGACCCCCAACCCCAGTGTCATTTTGCAGAGTCTGTCCAAGGCTTGCTTGTTCTGAACAAATCCATCTCCCAGCCAAGCTCGGGCCTGAGCTCCTGCTGTATAAAGAGACACTCCTGGCTAATTGAGCTTGGTAATATATCTGATGGAGTGAGACTTGCCAAACTGTTCAGAGGAAGGGATGACGGCTCTGTTAATACTCCCAGTATAGCACTATTCTAGAATAGGCAAAATAGAAGGATGAAGCAGGACTCATCACTGACCCCAGTCTTCTTGTGCCTTACAGCATTGGGGGTTGAAACTTTCATCTGTTTCCTCTTCAAAATATAGCGTTTGCTTCTCTAAATATCATGCAGTAGCAAATTCCACAGTTTATCTTGGAACTTTCTGCTTCAAGAAGGGGTAATCTGTACTTGATAACATCAAGTGATCTTTTACATCCTGTATCAATCACGTTGAATTATAAGGAAAACTAGGAGTCTTCTGGAAGGGTTTGATGACTTTACTGTGGAGAGATTCAGGAATGTGAGACTTGGGTGAAGAATTTCAATTAAAAGGAAGTCAGGAAGACCTTTGAGACAAGGTGGACACCTGTATTACATTTTAAGAGATATCTTTTATTTGTATATCTTATATTCCATACCCCTGCACAAAGCCTCTTTGTCTTACAGTTCAGGAGAGAATCCTGCACTGAGAAACTGCAGATGGATGATTCGGCACAACAAATAAAATATTCAGAAGGGGGGAAATGGGCTACTCTTTAAACATTGTTCATTTATCTCTTGTTTGGTCTTGGTAGCATGACTGTCATCCTTCCGAGGAACAGGAAGGCAATTTCAGGCAGTGGAAGCAGTACGAAGAAAGAGATGGGACAAGACTGCGCCAGCATTTGGGCAGATTGTAGGGATGATGGAAAGCGCTGTAGAATCAGGCAGAGCTGGGTACTGGACTGCTCAGCATATGCAGCTGGAAGCCATGGTGAACATACTGGGAGGTGACACTGGGCCTGCTCCACTGCTCCTTCCACAGCAGCTGGCCCCCGCTGGACACAGTGCCCTCAACAGAAGTCACAAGGCAGCTGAAGACCTGAAAGAAAGTCTAGTGCACCCAATGCTTATGTTATACTGTCCCAGGGGTCATGTGAGATGAACAGCTGATAAATGATGGCATACCTGGAATAAGTTCTCTGTTTGCCACTCTAGGGCAATATATAAGAAGAAAATGTGGGTCTTACTACAGGCACACTTAAACCATATGAAGGAGACCTGTATTTTGAAATGACAGGTCCTCCTCCATGACTGGAGCATGACCTAGTTGCTGACTGAGCTATCTGTTGTTTATAGGCAATGATTCCTCACAAACAAATCAACTAAATGAACAAACAGGGTGATAAAGTAGAGTCAAGAACTGCATTGTCCTCCTCAGAGTCATAAAAACTCATCCCTTTTACAACTGCTGAGTGCTTTGCCAATATCATGCCAAGGTGAGAGCAGCGGGGGGAAGGGAAAGATAGTGAGAAGGAAAATAAATGGTCCAGGTAAACAGTGCTGCTGCTGCTGCAGCAGCTGTGGTTGTCATGGTGACTGGGGTGAAGAAGAGGAGGAGGAGAAGGGAGGCAGATTGATCGATAGTCCTGTGCTAGCTCATCTGGCTTCCATCCACGTGCTGCTACAGAGGGAGAGAAAATCAAAGAGCCACACGCAGGGCGGACAGGGCTCCGATTCGATACATGGCAGCAGCTTGATCAATAGCTTGTTGGAAGGTGGGTAATTGACTCCCCTTCCACCCAGGAGAAAGCAGTGCAGCGATAGAGATGTGTTCGTTAGCTACTGATTCTCAGCTCTACTTTATCACCCAGTTTGTTCATTTAGTTGATTTGTTTGTTTGCTTGCTTGAGATCCCCTCTTCAGTCCGATTTCTCCCTGTACCTGTCAAAGATGAGCGCACCAGCTGCTGGAGCAGAGCCAGGACTGCCCTCAAGTTTCTCAGTTGCTTTCCCTCTCCTCTCCTTTCTTTGGTCACAACTGGGTTTTTTATCTCACACTGGCAGAGGTTTTGATGCGGGAAGCTGAAAACAAGGACAACCTTTTCTTATGGGATTTCTAGAGCTTCCTTTTCTGGCTGGGTCCAGTGGAACTTAAGTATAGCTCATCTGAATGCAAGGAGCACAGTAGCTCCCCCAAAAATTCAATAGTTAAGTCTATTTTTGTACCTCACAAACCAAGTGAATTACAGGGAGAGATTTACAACTGTTATTTTTGTAAATCTGCTGTTCTCTAGAGGAGTTACCCACAGAGGGTGACCAGGTGATGCTATCAGAAAAGACAGAAAAGAAGAGGTAGCAGAGGAAAGGGCAGGAAATCAGGGCATGCTGAGAAGAGGAAAAAAAGAAAAAAAAAAAAAGAGGAAGATGCAGAAAAAGACATTTTTCTGAGGAAAGCACATACTTATGAAGCACTGAAATGGTGTAGGCTAATTCTCCATTTCTGTTTTATACCTGCTGGCACAGGGTACCAGTTTGACCTTCTGGCGGGCAGTGCTGCATTTTGTAAACAAGCCTGTATGACACAACCAAGTTCACCCTCATGCTGAATAAGCTTCTGCAGGCATTTTCTAACAAAACATAGTGGAATTTGGGTGGCAAAACCAGGACTTATGTTTTATATCTTCTATCAAAGCAAGCGGCAGAAATCTCCCTATCGCCTCCCTGGGGTGCTAAGATCCTAATTGACTTCAACAGGGACAAAACAATGCCACTCTGTGTGGTGCAACACCCATCAGCAAACTTTGAGCATAAAATGGTAAATCTAGATTCCGAGATGCTCTGGGAGGCGAGGACCATCTGTTTGCTCTATACTTGTCCATTGTCCAGCTTGCTGGAGTCCTGGTCCACAATGAGCATTTAGGCATATAGTAATAATAAGAGCAGTAGTGTCTATTGCTGGATAATTGATACTGCTTTGTGGAGCAACTAGCCCCCTAGGGTATGGCTTAGAAGAGGCAAACACACCAGAAGTATCACTTCCTTCAGTACCCTGGATTTTTCTTGGAGCTATCTCATCCAAATGCACTCCAGTTCAATTTTATTTAGCTTCTGAATTAAAAATGAAAACTCATTTGCTTGGAATTCTTCTTAAGTTAGTTGGCTGCAGTCCAGCTCTTGGGGCTTGTGCTTTTAGGGTCTGATCCAAATCCCAGAGAAGTCACTGAAAATCGCTCCACTGATTTTAATGAGTCAAACCACTGTGTGAGGAGTAAGCTATCATCTCTCAAGGCCTTTTTTTATTATTTCCTTTTCATGCTTTGAAGCACTAGCAGGTGTATCTCGCAGACACTGGATGTAAATCACAGTAGGAAGAGGGGACTGTGTGAGCACAACTGCTCCCTGTTGCATAACCTAGAAGATGCAGGTTATATCAGGCAATACTAACACGGTAGGGACTACAGCTTTTTCACGCCTCAGTATATCTGCCTCTGGAAATATTTACAAACCACCCAAAGATGCCTCTGTGCCCTGCAGAAAATTTTCTTTCAGTTCCTTTGTGAGTGGGAAGATAAGAGCCTCCTAACCTCTGGGCATAATTTATGGTAGAAATAAATAGCAGGATGATAGAACTGTTCTAAAGTAAATTATTGAAAATATTCACCTGCCAGTTCTCCAGAGAAAGCAGGCAGGTGGGCGAGCTGGAATCAAGTGAGACTAAAAGCCTTAGAGGAATAGAGAAGTTTCTTCTAGTCATAAAAGAACAAAAAGTGTTTGCAGCACCTGCAGGCTGCCTCCTCTCTAGAAGGAAGCCAGAAGGTTGGACAAAATATTAAACAGACAATGGAACAGCCTGTAGTCAAATTTGCACTCAGGAAAAATAAATAAAAGGACATATAATATTCAATGTTGCTATCAAGCTAAATGCCTGGACTACCTGCCAACAAGAAGCATATCTATTTGCTGAATCGTTATGCCTGACACAGATGGGGAAAGTAACAGGGTATGTGGATGACATGAGAAAGGCAGAATGGATCTCATACACATCACATCAGTGGGGCTCCAGAGAATCAGCTCAGTGAGTCTTGCTGCTTAATGTGCAAATTCAAGGGCCTGGCTACTGAAACGTAGTCTAAATTCTGAGAAGAATGAGGTAATCCAAATGATCTGTGAGCATATGTGCAAGGGGAATGATGTAATGCACAAACAGCCGATGTCTTTCTCATAAAGGACCTTCCTTAAGGGTCTCTGTGAGGCTGGAGGCTACATGGGAGCTGTGAAAGGGCATATCTCACCTGCTTCTGCACTAGTGCACTTTCACAGCTGTATCAGGGGCCTTGAAGACAGTGTCAAAATTCTGGTCACTTAGTAAAATGCCACTTTCTAGGAATTTGTGCAGGAGCCTTCCTGACAGGGAACTGACTCCTCCCCAAAGCAAGAGCAGCAGGGGTAAGTCAAACTCTGTCAGTGGTAAAGCACAGGATTATGATAACAAAAAAGGATGCTGCATCCTAAGAAGTGAGAAAAACAACTGCAGTCCCACACTAGATGAAAGATATCAGTGTTGCCGTTCTATGATGCATACCATAATGCTTACCCAAGGCCTTGAAACAAGGATCTTAAAGCAAATCTGGGAGTGTCTAGCACTGAGCTGTCTGACTGGCGGTCTGTGGGCTGGGATCAGGCCTTGACATTTTCCTTTGAATAACATCTTGGCAACAGAAGAGCTAAGGAAAGGTGATTAAGGAAGCCCTTGAAGGCCATTTGTTAGTGCATTCCTACAAACTCTAGCCACAGGCTCTGCAATTGCTTTTGTGTCCAGCTAGGAGGGGGAGGATAGACTGGGAGGTTGCTTCTGACTGTGCCTGCAGGTCATCACAGCATCCATAAGGCATGTGAAAGAAGACAATACTGCCTTTGCATCCTTCAGCACTGGAAAAACTGGATGCCTTGGTAACAACCTGACAAACTCTTCTAGGGAAAACACAAACTGTGCATAGGAAGATCATCCTCTTTCAGAAGACTAGCCAGTGGGCACGGGAGACTTGAGATCCTGGGCATTGTGAAGACCTGTTATAAGTGATAAAGATCAGGACAATTCTTGGGGGAGTGATTGCAGCTCTCAGATCCCTTTCAAATCTGCAAAGTGTGACAGTGGCTTAATTCCCGTTGCCTCAGCCCAAAGAATGACTCATGACCTGGAGCACTCAGCACATTCAGCTGAAAGTCTGTTCCTGTGCCTGAACAAGCAGCTGCCCTAAATTCTGGGTGTCCTACATTACACCCAAAATGTGCAGAGTGCCTGAAGTATCTGACTTGACCTTAGAACACCCTCAACCTGAGAAGCTGGGCCAACGCCCATCAGTAATGTAACTTGAATTCGAAGCTCTGGTGCTGCAGAGATGCATTGTTGTATGATTAATGAATGCCATTAAACCAGCCTCTGCAGCCAGCAGTGAAAACTCAAGAGAAATACCAGACAGTCAGCCACAGTCAAGGGGGCTGAATCAAAAAAAGAAATAAATGCTTGTGGTTTAAGAAAACTGACTTTCAGTCTCCTTTCGAGATTGCTCCATTCTAAATTGTTAATCCACATTGATCCACTTGAAGAAAGTTGGTAGGGCTCCCTCACGCCTGTGCAACTCCCCAGGCAGGAGAACAGTGTGAGTCCCAGCAAGAACAGGGCATGACAGAGGAGCCAGTCAACACTGGTGCTACCCTGACTCCTGTTCCTGGTGAGAAAGCAAAGCCCGGACATTTTGTTGATGCTACCTTAAGTTCTTCTCAGGTGTAACTGATCAAACAGAGATGTTGATGTGAAGAAGAGGAAGGTAGCACGCAGCCGGTAGTAACTTCAGCTGTGTTAGTACACCTGCTCCACTGCTGATAGAATCCTACACATGCAAGGATTTGCAATAAGTGAGTCAAGCAAAGTTAGCTTCTACTTGTAGTCAAAATGCACTTCAGTTAGCTCACCTGAAGCAAAGGTTGGTAATCTGGGGTTTTACAGTACTGATAATGTGATCACAGGTCACAGATGCTTGAGTCAAAACTATACTTGAATATATACAAGAACTACTACATATGCCTTTTACGCACAGCACAGCACAATGTCAAAATTGTACTTATTAAGCAATTAAACTTCCAGTTACTTGTGAATTTGGACCCTTTTTTCTGGGTTAGCATTTGATGATTTCTTATGCTATGTGAGAGGCCAGCTGTTCCACCAGCAAGAATCCAGAGCCAGGGAAGATGTGGCAGACAAAGAGCCTGGGGAAGGGGCAAAAATGCAGCTCAAAGTGCAGGGAACCTGGAGAAAAGCAGGTGGTAGGTAGCAGAAGTGTGTGAGGATGGTACACCCCTAAGCAGTCAGGATTGCAGATGCCTCCATCCCTGCACTGCCACATGGATGGTTTTAAAGCAGAGCCAGTTCCCATAGCAACAGCACCTGCCAGAGCTGCCAGCCGTCGGGATGCAGCTCCTGAGGAAGGTAAAGAGCAAGGCTGACCTCCCGCACCCACCCAGGGAGTGGCACAAAGCTCTGTCCCAGATGAGCTGCACAGCTCCCAGGCCAGTGCTTTCCCTGTAAGCAGGAAGGCCAAGAGCTCTCCACCTGAGCCCTCAGTGAAAGCCTGATCAGCTGAACAACAGCTCTCAGTTTGAAGTAATACCCAACCGACTGTTGGATTCCCAGGAAACGAAGGGATGTGCTGAGCTAAACTTCATGCTATTGCTGGACAGGACAGGAGAACACACAAAAGCATCCTCAGCAGAAGGGAACAGAGGGATTCCCCACTTTCTGACATATTACTATTGCTTTTCCTTCCCCTTGCACCTGCCTTCTGGCTTGTTTTTTACCTACTACTGCTTCTCCGCTGTTGATTTTTGTACTTACCCTCCTCCTAGTGCTCCAGCAAAATCTTCTGTGTTGTAGGCACAATGCCAATGACAACTGATGTTTACCAGCTCTAGCAGGGTTCACTTTCTTGCTTGCACAGTTACACTTTCTCCCAGAGAGAAAGATGTTGTGAAAGTGGGAGGCTTCCATTAGCAGGATTGAATGTCAGACACCTGAGAAAGCTGACACTGCAGAAGTGATGGAGACAGTTCCTCGTGATCAGGTGGCTACATGATAAAACCTCTTACACTCAGTGCTGCCCAGCCCTAGGCTGACAGACTTGGTAGAAAGGCCAGGGGCCAAATGGGTCAGAGACTGGCATCTCTTATGTTGTGAGGGCTTCTTCTAGGGCTGGGCTGAAGTGTGCTGCAATGGCTGAGTGCACACCCTCACCTATGCCTGCTGCTGCTCCTTCTCTGTTGTCTCTTATCTGGGCTGTGACTCTCACATATTTCAGCAGAACAGAATTCATCTTGCATTGAATACACGAAATAAAA